ATTTTATTTTACCGTATTTTACTTTTTTTTAATTGAGATTGTTTTTTTTTATTTACTTTATTTTTATTTTGTCTTTTTTTTTATTTTATTGTGATTTATTTATCTCTATGGATTAAGTTTTTGGTCACTAAGACTTTCACCCAGAAATTTGATTTTCATTTTTTTTTTGGAACACTGGTAATAAACTTAGGTACACAGCTGCACTGAATTATATGGTTAGACAGACTCCAGGTGTTATTCACTTCACTCAACAGCATTTCTCTGCTTGAACACTCAGCTCTCCATTCTCATGTTCTTATTTCAGCTTAAGCGTTTTTTCTTCTTAATGCCTGCATATCTTTTTCTACTGTTTTTTCATTTTGTACTTACTTCTTTTAAGAGTAACATTTAGCTCTACAATCATTCTTTCTATTTAATAATATATAAACATAAAAACATTTCAATCGTCAGTCATTTGGCTATAAGAGTGAAACATACATAACTTATTTATTAAGGTAAAGTTTTTAAGTGAAGATTCTCCTGGGCACCAAAAATGTATGATCTGCATATCGAAAGATTCAAATATCGTGTGTGTAAAACTATTAAAAAGAAATGGGTGCATTTCTTACTTGGCCTGACATGATTCTGCGTAAGAGCCAAAAAAATGTGTATAAAAAGAGAGGGGTTGTCATCATGCAGAAATGCGACCGCATTTAAAAAAAGAAATATTTGTGTAATTTTAGATGTAGGTCTGCCAATGACTTGATTTTGTAATCCACCCCAACTTAACATCATTTGCATTGCAACAGCAGTGGATGTCAACCTTTTTTAAAATTACAACATCGAATTCACTTAATTTTCTTAAATTTTTTTACAATTTGTATTTAAAACAGAAAACTACTGCTGAATTTTCGCACTCCATATTTATAGGCTTGTCTGCATACACCTGATACCGACCTCTCACGCAGTGCTTTCACCACAATCACATGAAAAACACCTGCGCCTGCAACACGCTTATCACAGTAAACTTAGTACATACTTATGTTATTGTTACATCCCCAAAACCACGTCCACTTCCGGTTCCATTGCTAATGCAAAACATTCTACGGCAATAAAACAGTAATTTTGTTTGCCTCAAAAGGGTGCATGTTGTAACTTTTGTCACGCTTCTGAAGCTACTATTGTTCATAGCTGATTTGTTTTTTTTTTTTTGTTGTGTTATCCTTTAACCGACAAAACGTGAAGAAGGCAAAAAAGAATATAAAAAAGACAATGAATGGACTCTTAAAAAGAGTTGGGTTATGGCCATATGAAATATCAGCCCATACTTTGGTAAATTTTTTGGGGAGTTCCTTATTTGTTTTTTAATACTCTGTTTACCTTTTTTTGTTTTTTAATTATAAACTTCATTTACGTGTTCTTGTTTTATTATTTTTTCCTCCAAGCTTTACGTGTGCACATATGTAATTGAATTTATGGCTTGCCTGCACGTTTGGCAACAGTCAGGCAACGCACATCATAAATTCAGAAGGATAACATATCTATATATAAGAGCGTTTTCCTACTGCCCTGCAGTCAAATCAACTATAGTTTAAAACTCCTACTAGTTTCAATATCCTTAGCAGGAGCAATTCACCCTCCAATTGTCTTATTTCCATGGCGTAACTTGTCGGTTTTCGTTCAAAAACATATCACCTTAGTGCTAGTTTAAAAAAAAAAAATGGGCCAGTCTTATCTAGAAATTTGAATATTTTACCTCCTACTATAATTTTAATGCATTGAATATTATTTTTTGTCAGTAAGAGTAGTAAAGAAGTTATTTATAAAGCTAAACGTACTTTTCTTAAAAATTAATTATGAAAAAAATTTTCACGCGGAACAATTTTTAGTTCTCTAAATAATACAAGCTTAGTGTTTTTCGGACTAGTTCCACTTCGGCAACAAAATCGTAGTGCGAATGCCTAGTTTTTATTTACTGTTATGCTTGTAATCTTGCTATGTAGGGTTTTTATGCGTGACAAACTGTCTATTTTAAGGCAACTCATTCACTTACGGCTGACACACGCCAAACATACCACACGTATTTAAAACGACATCTAGCGGATTAAGCAAGGAGAAACAGAATAATGTAAGCAAATACTTTTTTCTCAATCCAACAATTTTAATTGAGCTATTTTTTTAAATTAATGCAACGCTATTCGTTCTGTCTGTCTTTCATCCATTTACCTAAAATTTTACTTATCATAATTCTGGGAGTTAGAAAATTTATTTCTATAATTATTGGCACTTTGTAACCGCTTGGTAACCAATTTTCGCTCTAGCTTCTCCTCAAATTTGTGGTTTTGCGTCTTGATGTTTTTCCAAAAAATGGAGGGATCTACAATTTATACTAAACCGCCTCCGAACGGCTGATGGTTTTTCATGAAGAGCCTTTATTTAATGACAGAAAAAGACCGCAACTAGAAATTTTAACTTAATTTTTTATTTAAATTAATTTTCTATAGATTGGTCGCCCCTGGATTTGAACCCGGGCCTTCCCAATGGCAGTACGTAATGTTAACTACCCGGCCACTGCGGCCGCATTTTAGTTCTCTATACATTCAAAGAAAAGGAGAAAGTTCTGAAATAGTGGAATATCGGATATATGGTGATTAAAGCCCACTATCAACAAAGTGATAAAGGTCAGTAATTTTATTACTACATACTCGACTATTTCAATTAGTTGAGGCTGCCGATTTTGATTGTGTATGAACATACCAATGAATAAAACAATGAATGTGCGTTGTAATAGATAAATGTAAATAGTTTATATCGTAGTTTTTTAGTTAGTAAAAAATTGTAAATTGTAAAAAACCTGTATATATATGTGCATATATTTATTCACTGAAGCAAGTGAAAATAGTTTACTAAATTTGATATCTTTTCATGTGAATACTAGTATGTGTATTTTTTTTTTTTTGTTTTGTACAGCTTTACTTACCAGAATTACATGACTCTTAGAAAATAAAGTTATTAAATTAACTGAATAACCAGTTCCTTTCCTCAAATTTCATTTTATTTTTATTTCAATTTTATTTTATATTTATATTATTATAATAAATGTTATGAAAAACCAAGACCTGGCATATATTTAAGAAAATATTCAATGATATTTTAATTAATGTTTTTACAATTTTAATAAATCACCTAGAAAAATGAATAAAATAAAATGAATAACTAGTGTTACTAATGATTTTGCCACAAGTGTCATTAGAAAATTGCTTGTCGAATTCGATGGAGATATAGAGATGCTGTTAAATTAATTTTATTTATCAAAAGTAGTTTTATTAAGTTGAAAAATTTAATTAAATAAATAAAGGAGCAAATTTGTAATATATTTATTGTACAATTTTTTTTATCAATTTAACAATAAAAGGAGCTTTTCTTTAGTAAAATATTTTGTTCACATCCGCTTTTATTCACTTCTATTGTACTTCATTACCAACAATTAAAATATTTTCTTTGTGTTAAACCCTCAGAGCATTATTGGTTTTCATGGTGCGCATTTTACAGCCCCAAATGCTATAGGCAAGTCAAATTGAAACATTTCGAAATAAAATTTCAGAGGGTAAAGCATCGTGTGCATTAATAAATAAATACATGTGCAAGAGTGTGAGCCCTGAATCGAAGAAACAGTAAGGCGCTTCATAACATATAACAGCAGGTTTATACATACATACATATCAATATTCCAAAGTCAACCTTTGTAGTTTACATTTTTATGAAACCCAGTAGCACACTCTTTACTGATTGATGCTGTACGCATCGACCCTACAGGTGTGATATTAAATAAAGACTTTTTGTGTAAAAATAAGGATTGCAAAAAGTAATGCTTACAATAGCAGGCGTTTAATATGTTAGCTGCTTAAGGAATGTCACATGAAGAAATAAGTGTAAAATGAATTGCAAATTTTTGCAATACTGAAAAGCTCACATTTATTATATTAATGTATAAGCTTAAAAAATACATTAACTCAAACATAACGCCGCTGGTATGTTCAAAAATGTACTGGGAAAACCGTAGAAACATTTTTTTTTTTCATTTTTATTTTATTATTTTAATTCTCTCAATTTAATGTTATATTCTATTTTATAATATTTTATTTTATTTCATATTGTTCTATTATATGTTATTTTAAATCATTCTAATTAAATAATATTTTTTTTTATTTTATTTAGTTTTCCCTCTTATTTTTCACTATCAGTTTTAGTTTTCCTTAATTAATTTTATTTAATTTAATTTAATAAGATTAAGGTTATTTTAATTTGAAATAACTCAATGCTATAATTATATTATATTTTATTTCTTTTCATTTTTTTATTTCACTTATTTATTTGATTTTGTTTTTTTTATTATTTTTTGCTTTATTTCATTTTATTTTGTTTAACTTAATTTTACTCTATTTTACTCCAATTTATTTCCTTTTATTGTTTTTTGTTATAGTATTTTTTTTACTTTATTTGATTTTATTTTATTTTGTTTCAAAATTATTTTATTTTATTTTACTTTCTTTTGTTTACTTTCATTATATATATTTTATTTTTTTTTAATGTTTTATTTAATTATTTTCATGTTTTTGTTTAATTTAATTTTATTTGTTTAGTTTCATATCAACTGTGAATCCAACTGATAATAAAAAGTTCTGAGGAAATTGTCAAATTTTTATGCCTCGCTGAAATGCTGCAAACAGGACTCGGGATTACATAATTAAGAAGAATTTTCAGCAAGAACATTGAAAAAGGATAAGATATATGCACTTATACCAATGCTACATGATGTAATGGGGAAATTTCGTGGAAACCATTTGACGTGTGCATGTTTGATTAATAAAAATTATTTCATCAAGTGGACTAATAAGGGAAATCTTCCCTACCTTACCTACACTTTTATATACAGCTTAACTTAAAACAGAATTCCAAATTGAAAACATATATTAGTTGATGTCTTACTATATACCATAGGAGACGAAGAAACAACTCACCATTAATTTTAATCCGAAATTATACTTGTCAAAAATGCTGGAAAGAGAAGAATAATGGCATTAGTTTACAAGCTTTAGTGTGTTGAGTATATTAATAGTGAGAATAAAACTTTGTATTTAAAAAATAAAGGTGCTATAAAAAATTAAGTTTTGTATGAAAAAAGTTATCGGAAATATCTTAAATTAGTAGTAAATTTCAGCTTGCTGTAAAATTTTGCTTACATCACACTTAACAATTACGACAACAAAACAACCCAAAAATAGTGGTTGATAATTTGTATGTATGTACTTTGAAATAGTGACTCAAACAAAAAACTCATTGGCGCATTATACTCTGCATCATAGCCGACGATAACCCCTTTGAAAATAGTTTCACAGAAGTCTTTCTTTCATTATCCATAGAATAACATTGAGATCCCTTTAATCAGTTTATATTATTTTGTAGCACAAAAATTAAGGACAGTCAAGTAAAACTATGTGTTCATCTAAGCCAATAACAATATTTTTTTGGTCCTAAGGTGCGAAAAATAATTATATTGTAAAAAGTAATCCATTATATTTAGATTAAATTAAAGGCTTTATTGACCATAGCTAGAATTATCCGCTAATCAGCTCTAATTAACTTGGTTAACCTTGAAGCGTGTTTATGAAAGAAAACATAAATAAAGAAGAAGCAGCACCGATTTAAAATCAAAGCAGAAAAAAGCTATGTACCAACCACAAGGTATGCAATACTATCTGCCTGTATTATTATAATTATCTTCGCAAAAAAAAAAAAATTTCTTAGGCTATTATCAACGAAAATGTAACAGCTGCGCAAGTACTTTGTAAAAAATACAACAATATCAGTATGTAAAATATTTTTATAATTTTCTTGCGTTAAAATATGCTAACATGAATTTGTATGTTTAGTTGTGTGTTATCTGAAAATATTTTTCGTTGTGGTTCAATTGCCTCAGCTCATCCAAATTTTTTCGTTTAAAATGATTTTTTGCTTTATTTTTATTATTTTTCTTTACCTTTATTTTTCGCAATAATTTCAGCTTTTTATGATTTCTTATTGTTGCTCATCTGCCCTCAAAACTTTACAATTGCATCTAATTCATCACTTCGGTTTATGTTTTTGCTGACTTACCTGAAGGTGTTTCCAATGGTGATTGCTTTGTGGGAAGACAGTGAACTCTACATTTATTAAATTTTTTCTTAATTTTTTGTGTTTACTTTTATTTTTACTGTTTTTGTTAACAAAGCAACGCTCACTTCTTGCAATGCAATACAATTAGCAAGCAGCAATGAGATAGCCGAAGGTAAATACTGAAGAAATGGAGCGCAACAATTGCTTAGTGATGTGTTGAATGCTATGTAGAATGGAGTCAAACGATTTGGTCTTTGGTTCATTGGTGGAGTAGAAAAGAGAATGGCAAGGAAAACAAACGTTTTTTTCTGCAGAAAAGTAAAATGAAAATTCGTGTAATTAGATTAATGCTTTCTTTGCTTTAAGGTCTCACAAAAATTTTATATTATCGAGTTTATTCTATGAATTTCCTTTATTAAATTTTGTGTATAGTAATATTTCGATTTCGGAGACCAGTGTTTGAGTCCTATTCCGGCCAACATCCAAAATTATAGAAAATAATTTTTCCAAATGAAGTTGACCGTCGGCAGCCAATGTCAAATACTCCAAGCATATTTCTGATTTGAAAATCAAAGCTCATCATAAAAATGCATTGAAGGTTCGCAGACGGTTTAGAATATATCAAGACGCACGCCACAAGTTAGAGAAAGAGCTCGACCGGAAATCGTTTCAGCGACTACATAGCGCCAATAACGTATATACATATTATATGTAATATTTTTGATGGTAAGCCTGCTCGGATATTTCGATTCGATGAGCATGTGGAAAATCTGCTGTTTATCAATTGTATTGAATTAAAAGTTCTAGAAAACAACAAGAATGAATCTGCTCTGGATTTCAAAGCTTATATGTTGTTGTTGACGAGAAGGCAATAACATTTTGTCTTATGAGACGAATCATTTCGCCTTGTCCTCGTCCATTCAAAGACCCAAACGCTTTACTTCCATATCCAATGTAGAGAAGGTAGAACTAACGACACAGTTATTGATGCCAATGTCATCGTATTATATCAACTGCACCTTCTCTCCTTAGCTCTGAAAATCGTATAATTTTATCCAGCATTATGTAAATGAAGCCACAAATGAATCGTTATTTGTCTGAAACATCGTTCTGAACCGAATAGAAGTTCAAACATTTCGCCATAAAGACAGCGCTATAAGTTAGTTGATGGCGGGAACTAGTCCTAAACCAGTCATATGTGCGATGTTGAGTTGGCTTGTGGTCGAGCAATTGACCGTCTGTTCGATCGTCAACGAACACTCTAGCAGGCTGGATCAGTGTAATCAATACAATTACAATAGTGTGGTGTTTAAGTAGTTACCGCAAAATATTCCCGTAATTGGTTCTTTGGGGAATATTGCAAAAGCGAAATTATTTGACTGGATAGATATTCGGATGGTACCGGCTTTAAGACCTGACTGTCAAGGGAACTATTGTATTTAAGTTGTCACTTACGTAAGGGTAATCATAATGTGATCGATCGCAGCTTTTTTTTTTTTGACTTTTCGAAAACAAATCGTTTGCTTTCTCGCAGAGAAAACTAGTGCAAGTTGAGTGAAAAACTGTTGGGCTGTCCGTTGGGATTGCAGTTTCTCGACATTGCAACCTTCCTTATATATGCTGGTGCCTATCTTGGCTAGTACGATATAGTTCTTCTTTATCTTCCCAAGCTCATGGAAGTATCATTTTTCAAATCGTCCTTCTAATCCATCGGAGCTGAGGCGAAGATAAGCGACAAGCTGAAGAACTTCACATCGATAAGAATTGAGTGTAGACGGGCATCTACGAAGAATTATAAACTAAGGCACTGAGTCTCTCCACTAAAACCAATTTGAAAATCGATAAAACTATCAAAATACTTTTTGCAAATTCACAACTTGATGCATATGCTAAATTATGTGACTGGTAGAGATGATGCCTAACAGGAAAAATAAGCTTCAGATAATTAAACGAATGTTAATGGGCAAGCGAGCAAATGAACTTACCTTAGTACCAATCAGAATCCTTTGAGTTTCTGTTTTGGTTTCGAAAAATTATTCAAACTCTGAAGAATTATAGGAAAACTCAATGTTTAGGTCCCTGACACACCTAATGTGTATCATTAACTATTACATCGGTTAGATAAAATCGCAATAAACACTTTTTCGAATATTTTTTTTTTTAAATTTTTTAAACTGAACTTAGCAGTTAGTACGCTTTCGTCTAGCCACCATTTTCCAGGATTCTGTATTTAAGATTAAAATATTTACAGGTACATATCTATTGAATAAAAAATGAGTTAAATATTTTCTCACCCACTTATACAATTTTTTCAATTTTTTTTACAACATAAGCATCTTCCTCCGAAGTTCACTATGGAAGTTATAAAACAATTAATCTACACTTCAATGTTTGTTCCCCGGTTAGTATACATTACAGAAGAGTTCTTACAAATTTGTATATATTTGTATGTAAAAATCTACTTTTTATAAGAAAGATTTTTTATTATCAAAAAACATTAAAGAAGGTCTTCTAATTTTCTAGATAATTAGAAGCAACCAGTCAGGCTATTGAAATACGAAAGTGGCTGGTATTAAATAACATCTAAAGCTTACTACTTTCCCAGCAATCTAGATCTAAACAAATAAAAAACAGTTATTTAGAATGGAATCACAAAAATATATCAAAAAGTAACCTCTAACATACGCACATAACTTTTGTTTATTTTCTTTAGTTTACAGGAAATTAAGCAACGCCGGCGTGGCGGCGTTATAATGATGACTTCCTAAGCTACAAACATAAACAGAATCGTTAACCAAAGACGAAGGCTACTTGCAACAACAACAATGTTATTTACATCTTAAAAACAAAACGCTAAATTACAATGGACATGAACTTTTTAACATCAGTAGCTACAAAGAGACTTTAAAAAAACCGAAATTAAAATAAGAAGTGATAAAAAAATTTAAAAAGAGAATAATAGCAGGTGATTGAAGCTAATTTACATCAACATTAAAAACAATGCTGCACACACAACACAAAGTTTTTGTCATCGTCATATCAAAAGGATCAAAAAAATGCGGAACCAAAACGAAAATGTATAGCAAATTGAAAGTATTAACACACAGCTGGTGCAAAGATTGGAAATGATCGCAACAATAACAACAACAACATAGTTGAACAGCTGGCTGTACATCGCACAGAGTACCAAATTGTTCAATGAAGCGTTAAACCATCTGTATCCGTTAGTTGTTTACTTTATATAAATTTTTTAAGTAACAGCTGCTTTAAGTAAAATATATATATATATATATATATACATATATACACATATATATAATATTTGGCGACTGTTGATATAGCCACTTTGTTGACATAATTTGCTTTCAATTATAATTGTTTATTAAACACAACCAAATACGACAGGATTAACAAAAGTTCAGTCATTTACTGACTTTCAATTTGGTTTTGTTAAACCTTAAAACATCGAATCCTTTGCAATTATTTTATTAGTTTTCCCCTCAAATTTTACGATGGTCGGAAAAAATGGAGACGTTGAAAAGCAAGATAGCAGAGGATAAGTCCGACAAAAATCCACCACTGGATTTCGGCGTATAAGAATATGCAGTGAATTCCAAATTGCACATGGAACGATTGCACGATCTTTAAAAATTATTTTTAAGTGGTTGCGACATTTCGCGACCTGACATGTTTCCGTAGAGAACGAGTGACGTCACTGTAGCTCTGGTTAGGTCCAAAATTGACGAAGACCAAGATTGACACAGGATGTTATTGCTCATGAATTAGGTTTGAATGCCATGGCTGTAGCGCAAATATTAAGCAATTATCTGGGATACACGAAGAAATTTGCTTGATATGTACCACGAATTTTAAATGTGGCCGAAAAAGAGGCTCGAGTGAAT